ATATATATATATATATATATATATATATATATATATATATATATATATGTATGTATGTATGAATAAATCCCACCTTTTGCTTGATCTTTTGGACAGCTGTTGCATCCTTTTTGTGAATAATTTCATATGATGTTAGTATGACATTCTTCAAAGACGGGGAGTCTCTTCAACTTTACCTGCAAGGAACATACATACGATGGCAATAGTCTGCATGAAGGGTTTAAAGATTTCAGGCACTACAATTTCAGTACTGTTTAAAAATCTTCAGTATTTAAGAGCATAAGAAATTCCATAGGAGTTTCTTTCATCTTGTCGTCAATTTCACAACCCTTGGTTTCTCAGTGTGTTTGTTAGTGCCAATTCTATAAACTTTAGCATATTATTACCAAGACAACTCTTACAGATCTGCGACTTCTTATGAGCTAATCAAGTTTATTTCATGAATCAAGGTGCATGTTAGCCTACACCTAGTAGCGACGTCTAACAGGGAAGATCTCGACTTAGATGCTGATGATTTGAGTATTCTTATTTGAAATGCTAAGCAGTTATTCAGAAACAGCAGCCACATAAACCAAAGATTTTATCAGCTCCAGATCAATTAATACTTGACAGAATGAATAGTGACTCACCTTCCTATCATTCTTGACATGGGGCTGATAAATGAAGAAACGGTGACAAAATATTATTGTTGTCGCAATAGTCACCTGAGGCCTGCATCATGAAGCCACATGCATCGTTTTGAGAAGTCGCAAGTATGGAGAAAGATTATAGTTAACTTTCAAACTTCTACTGTTTGTTTTCTCTACTTTATCATATATAATAAATCAAGAAAAATTATGATTCTACACCTTTATAAAAAGTTAGGACCACAATCAAGAATCATCACTCAAAAGAAATTTTAACAAATCCAGAGCAGTTCATCTCATCTTGACTAAAATAATAAGGAAAACATACATCCAAGAAAGAAACCTCACACTTGTAGCCACATTCCCAGGGTAAATGCGTGCAGTATGACTTGCGCATGTAAGTCTCTTTCTTCAAATCAATGCCATCTTGTCGTGAATTTTCTTCTATTCCTTCTGAGAAAAATACCAATGCCCACCATCATTTTCTTGACTGTCTGGAAAAACCTTAATATCACATTCATGTGATCCATGAAGAGAAGGCTCATTGGACAACATACTAGCAATGTGCAATTCCTTTCTCCCACCAAAATTTGTCGATACAT